GGACATACGACTATTTAAGCTCACTCTTTTTACAAACCAAGTTTGATGACTCATGACAAACCAATCATCCTTGTGTTATTTACTGTTAAAAAACAAATACTTTCGATGAGGGAGCTTCATGGAGGCTAGGATGAGGCACTCACCATCAATAGTATGGCGAAGCTTGCTGACGGGCAGAAATTTATTAAAGGAAGGATAACGAAGCCGTATAGGTAAAGGACAATCAACAAAGACTTAGGAAGATCCTTGCATACCTATCCCATTTACATTCAAGCCTATAGCTTGATCAAAATAGCCCATATTTGGTTAGTGAACTTATTGAGATCGATATCTCAATCATGGAAGCTACATACACTTTTAATAAATTCTCTTATCTCATGAGGTAAAGGCTATCATGAGAATCCCTTAGCGTATAAGAAACAGGTCTAACAAACTAATGTGACACTATAATCCCCATAGAATTTTTTAGTGAAATTAAACTGTGTATATAATGGTGATGTTATTGGAGGAGCAACACGGAGTACAGTCCACTGAGAGTGGTCACTCAGGCTTTTGGAAGACCCTTTGGAGATTAAATATTCCGGATATAGTGTGAATTTTTTTTTTGAGTGCTGCAAATTATTTTCTTCTTGTAAAAAAAAATTTAATCAAGCATGATGTTCGAACAAATGACATTTGTGAAGCTTGTGTTAAGGAAGGTGAGGACCAACGCCATGCTCTTCTCGACTCGAGAATCTCGAGTGTCCACTTTGTGTGGCGGTGCTAGGAGACTCGGTTTGGAGTGGACAGTAAAATCACAGAAAGGAGGCTCTACTAAAGCTTGGCTAGCTAGATGATTGGTTTGAGAAGATGGAGGAAAACCAAAGCATTTTATTGTCTTATATGCTTTGGTTGCTGTGGAAAGAAGATAATATAACTTTACCATGGGAAGATTAGGAGGGAGCTATAAGTATTGTGAAGGATGACATTGACCACAGAACGGAGGAATACAAAATATTTTGGAGTCCAAATAGCTCACAACCACATGCCGTGAGGTGGACACTGCCAAGCAATGATAGTTACGAACTAAATATATATAGATAGCGCAATGTTTCATGATCAAGCTTATTATGGTGCAAGTGCAGTACTAGTGAGAAATGCGAGAGGTGAGTTCATGACAGGCCTTTCGAAGAAGATGATTCGGGTTAATGACACATCGATCACTATGTGAAGTTTTGGCTGCTCGTGAGGCCGCAGATATCTGCATATGAAGTAGGATTTCGAAACATTGAGCTAGAACTGGACTCTCTTACCATTGTGGCATCTATCCACGATGCTAGCGAATACAATTTCTACATTGGTCTTGTCTACGTAGATTTTAGAGAGTTCTTTTTGTTATCATGAACTATCTAGAACATGCAAGAGGGTAGCACATGCACTAGCAAGGATGACAACTTGTGTGAGTGATTCTTCTTCATGGCTTGAAGATGCTTCGCATGTTGTTGGACATCTTTTAGCTTTTGATTGTAGCCAACATTCTCTTTCATATAATTCATTCTCCATAAAAAAAAAGAACAATTAAAAACTAAAACTGACTATACAAATCAAAGTCGAAAATACTTAACATTCATTTTTTATTCTGTAAATTTATTAGATTTTTTCTATGTGTATGCTATGAGGATAATCTTAGTCCGCAGAAACATAATATCGTGTTCATGTTGATCTTTACACCAGTAAACTAGATCATAAAGTTTCATATCATGTTATCACAGTGGGTTAATAACTTAATATACACGTACATATAATCACGCGAACACATATTCTAAATCTATAACACCTAAGAGGTTTATGTATGCCTACGGTAATTGTCTTCTTGACCTCCATCTCATTATCTTACGTGTTGATATATTTTGTAACATTCTGTATAAATAGTTTTTTTAATCCTCTTTAGAATTCATCAAGGGCTAACAGTAGTCCAACCCAAGAAGAATTAATAACTGAGAAAAAAAAAAGTAGACGAGGGCTTTGCTGGGCCTTCAATGTGACTCGTGGCTCAGGCCTATACCTAGCAAGTTGGCTACCGGCTTAGCGCTGCACATTGTCCTAGGATCGAAGCAGGCCTGCACAATCTTTGACTCTGTAACACCAACTCTCTCCCTCAATAGCTCAAATGAAAAGCCCAGTAAACAATAGGCCTTTGATGTCCAATTGACTGGAACGGGTAAGGTGTCACAAGGCCAAACCTATTTGACCCATATATGTATTTACTGTCTAACCCCACCTCATGCTTCTTATTGGAATGTAATTAACTAAACCCAAAATTAACTGAAAGGATGCGAGATACTCCTTAGAGCATCTCCAACCCAAAAACCCAAAATGATGTAGTTTTAACACCAAGTTGGTGTAGTTTTTACACCAAATCACTATTTTATCTCCAACCCATTACACCAAATTTTACACCAAATAGAAAATATGATGGATGAAATGGGATATGGTTAGAATATTTGATTTGTTATAGCCAATTTTAAGGGAAAATTGGGAAAAGGAAAAAACTCCATATCTACAGTGTTGCGCCATTTCTGGCGCAATATTGTAGCAGTGCCCCAAAATAGCACAGGTTTTGGCGCTAGGTTGGAGACAGTTTTGGTGTTCTTTTGGCGTCAAAATGGCTTTTTGAAGTAACGTTGGAGATGCTCTTAAACATACATTACATTAGAGGCTCTATTCAGTAACCTTGTATATGATAACCTGAAAATTTTATAAAGTCCAAACCTGAGAAAACCCTGCCATTGGCGTATCGCTATACAATAGGTCTTCCCTTAGTGAGTCTTTTGGGAATAATTAGACCCTGCCAGATAGGATTTTAGAATACAAATCTAATTAGAACTATATCTATAGAAACAAGGTAGCTTTAACCATAATTTAACAATAAAACTTCTCAAACTACTGTTCATCTAACATCATGCGATTTATGGTAAAAACATCCCGATTATATGCGGCTTTCTAGTTTAAAAAAATTGTACTTTTGGGATTTCATGCAAATTTCGCAGAATTTCACAACTAACATTTTGGGATTTGATTTAAAGGAGTTTGGTCCACCCGGTACAATGAAATCAATATGGTTCAAGCTACTAATTAATGGGATTTGATTTAAAGGAGTTTGGTCCACCCGGTACAATGAAATCAATATGGTTCAAGCTACTAATTAATCAGCTATCCGAGCTTGGATTGTTAATTGTCCGGTACAATGAAATCAATATGGTTCAAGCTACTAATTAATCAGCTATCCGAGCTTGGATTGTTAATTGTCTATAAGCAAATTACTTAAACAAATATTAACAAAATCGGCTTGTCATTTTCACCCTTCATCCAACGACAACCATGAGTTTGGCTCAAAACGAACCGAATAAAAGAATAAGTTTCTCAATGAAATTAATATAATTCCATAGCTTTCACTTCCGAAAACCACTATGTGAATGGTAGTTAAGTTCAAAAATAAACAAATGGCAAGCATGATGCAAGAAGCAATTGAGGTCTCCTTGAGAAGCATAGGACATAATTTATTGGTGAGTACATATGCATGATACCATATAAAATATTAGTTTATTAGCAACCATCAAATTCATATGGTAACCAATGATGCAGGGTAATGATAGCAAAAAGTTCAAATTTATCTGCACATAAGATAGTGACAAACAACTTCAAAATGTACCACTAACTGCGATGAACGAGAGGTGCGCTAGAGACTATGGCTCGCTTATAGAAGAACTTAAAGAGATTGATTTGCAGGATAACAAGATGCGGCTGAGAATTCTCGTAGATATTACTAAGCCTCTAAAAAGAGGCATACATGTTTGCTTTGAAGAGACCATAGTATATCTCGTCATTAGTGCCTACGGTTGCAATTCCACTATTTTGGGTGGTTCGAGATTCTTCTATAGACTTGATTTCAAACTTGTAACCTCCAACACCGAATCCTTTATAGTATTTAACTTCAGCACCTAGAAGTGTAGCCAAATATCCAAGTTCCTTATCTAATATCGATTCTACACTCGGTAATCGGCTCTGGCAAAAAGGTCAATATGACAATTACATAAAGATGTTAGATTAAGTTGAATGAATAAGTCAAAAAATAAGAAAATAGAAATCTTACATAATGTTTAAACCAATTGCAAAAATTGTCCTGATGATGTGTTTCAACTCGTGCCTCATTCCAATTACTATGCATTGCACGTATTTTATCCTTGTGTATTCTAATGTCAAAAAATAGTAGGTAATGTGAGAAGTATATTTGAGTGTAGTAAACATATATAGCATTATGTAAAATAGACATACTCTCTAACTTCTCAAAGGCATTCGATATTGAGAAGGATAAAGCGATGAATCTTGTTGATAAATGCGAGATTCATTCTATTATACAAGGCATTCGATATTGAGAAGGATAAAGCGATGAATCTTGTTGATAAATGCGAGATTCATTCTATTATAATCTGGCTTTTTTGATGGTCCGTCATGAATCACAAGAGGTCTGTTGAGTTTTGTCTCAATGTCTTCATCCAGATAACGGGAACAAAAAGTGGTTACTTCCTCTAGCAGATAACCTTCCTTAATAGAACCCTCTGGTCGATTTCTATTGCGAATATAATTTTTCAGAGTGAGAAAGTACCTACAAAAGCTTACACTAAATCACCACATCCAAGATGTAAAATAAAAATATATCGATTACGTTAACTATAAAACTAAAGGTACCTTTCGATGGGGTACATCCATCGATATTGTACTAGTCCGGCAAGCCTAGCCTCGGTTGCAAGATGAACAGTCAGGTGTATAATGATATCAAAGAATGATGGTGGAAAAATCCGCTCAAGCTTGCACAAAATTAAGGGAATTTCAGCCTCTAGCTTCTTCAACTTATCATCCTCGATGTTTTTAGCACACAATTCCCGAAAGAATCTGCAAAAATCATTGATCACTAAACCGACTGATTTAGGGAGAGAAGTTCTGAGAGAGAGTGGAAGAAGATGCTCCATAATAATATAGTGATCATGACTCTTCAACCCTTCGATCTTGCCTTTAACAATCTTTATCTTCTTACTAAATGATCATGAAAACCCCGTAGGAACCTTCAACTCATGTAACACCTGAAGAAACTTTTTCTTTTCATCTAGTGACATATGATACGCAGCATTGGGGAGTACAAATTGATCAGGATTGTATGCCTTCGGTATAGGATGCAACTCTTTTCTAATGTTCCACGCCTGCAGATCCCTTCGAGCTTTAAGGTTATCTTTTGATTTTCCATCTTTATAGAGAAATAAGTTAAGTATGTGCTCAGATACTCCCTTCTCAATATGCATGACATCTAGATTGTGTCGCACTTTATTTGTCTTCCAGTAGGGTAGTTCGAAGAAGATACTTTTCTTGTTCCATCCCTGTGGTGTTTCTTGCCTTCCCTTTACTTTTCCGAAAGTCACATTGTTTTTACCATTCCACTGAGCAAGTATATCCTCTCCGGATAATGGTTCTGGACGCGGGCGATTCTCTTTAGTATCATCAAAGTGGATGATGTCATCTCTGTACGAATGATTTTCATCCAACATGCGTCTGGAGATGACAGTAAGGACATGCAGTGTAACCATGTACAGACAAACCAGATAGCATTCCATACGCAGGAAAATCATTGATTGTCCACATTAAGGCTACACGCATGGTGAAGTTTGTCCCCGTGTCTGCATCGTATGTATCCACACCATCAATGAATAAAGACTTTAACTCTTCGATAAGAAGTCGAAGATAGACGTCAATATTGTTTCCCGGTGACTTTGGACCATCAATAAGAAGAGGCATCATGAAATATGATTGGTCCATAGCCAACCACGGTGAGAGGTTATAAATCATCATCACAATGGGCCATGTGCTGTGGGGATTGCCCTTAAAGCTGAAGGGGCAAAAGCCATCACTAGCCAATCCCAGCCTGATATTACGAGGTTCCTGACTAAATGTTGGGTGCCTACTGTCAAAATCCTTCCATGCAGGCGTATCTCTAGGATGACTCATTCGTCCATTTTCACTTGGACGTGCACGGTGATGCCAAGTCATCGCCACTGCTGTCTTCTTACACTTGAATAGCCTCTGCAGCCTCTGTGTAATGGGAAAGTATCGTACTAACTTGATAGGTATATCTTCTTTTGACCATGTACTTTCTCCTTATATCTAGCCTCTCCGCAAGTAGGACACTCCGTATTATCTGAATTTTCTTTCCAATAAATTATACAATCATTGGGACATGCGTGTATCATCTCATACTTCAGACCCAGATTAGACATTATCTTTTGAGCTTCGTACCAGCTATCAGGCACATGGTTCCCCGGAGGCATAAAATCTTTAAGAAACTTGAGGAGCATCGTAAATGACTAGTTGCTCCATTTATTTAGACATTTAATCTGGAATAGATGGACAAACCATGATAGCGTAGAGTGTTTTGCATTCTCATAAATGGGCCTCCTAGCATCATTCATGTATTTGTCATAATTGTCTTCACGATGTCCTCCTCCGAAAGGAGGATCTTCAGCAGGGTTAGTGTTACCAAGAGCTACCTCAACCATTTCCTCCATTTCCTCATCAAGAAATAAGTTGTCTTCTTCTTGTTCTTCTTCATCTGCATCACTGAGACCTTCAATTTGTCCATGATATACCCAAATTTTATAATCGTTAACAAAACCATTCTTCACAATGTGAAGTTCTACTTCTTCCTCCAATTGATGCAACCTATTCGCGCATAATTTACATGGACAAATGAGCCTTCCATGTCGAACCATATCGTGTCTACGTACAAAGTCCATGAAAGCACTAACTCCATTAACGAAAATAGATTGCATGCGTTCTGCACGACCCACGTACATCCAATCCTTATCTCTGATGTAGTTACAGGCCATGCTAACCTAAATAAAATGATTTATCAGTAATGACTTGTAAAAACATGGATTTAGGGAATCAACTAAGCATGATCGTGACTTTGCTTTGAATATAGGGTTACAATTAGAAGCCAAAAAGTTTAAACATGTTAATCTTATTAAATAAAATAGAAAATATGTAAATAATACTTAAATCATGAGGTATTAATGTAACTCATAACTTAAGATGTGTCTAGCGGAAAACAACAGTCGCTTCTAGCTTCTACAAGACACATGAAATTTCTGATCAGCTAACACTATGTGCTTTAGTATTCATTCAGAACCAGCTATCCTAATACGTAGATTCATGCATCAATGTGTTTGAAGAAAGGTGAGATCTGAGGTTGAATCAGTATGATGTCCAATGTAATACACACACTATAAAAAAGAAAATAAGATTGAACCTAGCTTGATGCATGAATCACCAGCTCAACAAACATTTGGATTCTTTGAATAGCAAAGAACTGAAATGCTTGCCTCAAAGACTTCAACTTTTTTTTCCTGTGCAACTGTATTTTATTGCTTTGGATAGAGACTCATAATCTTTCAGAAAACCAAAAATTGTAACATGGAAACAATAGCACATTAGTCGATAAATCAAAAAAGTTCATTAGTGGATTTTAGATGCTTATATTATTTCTAGACTGTAATAACCATCTCCGGTGATGCGAATTGATTATAAAAAATTAGAGATGATAACTAATAATTAACTCATCATACAGGCTTCTTCTATTAGGCTATATGGAAACAATAGCACATTAGAGACTCACAATCCTTGGTTTTATAATTTAATAATATAGAATTATTGCAAAACAAATTAAAATGTCACTGCATACTGATCCGGAAACTATATGCATGCTTCTTCTGTTAGGCTATAAAGATATAATAGTTTAACTAAAAGACAGATATTCATAGCTAGCTAGTGATGAAACCAACATATAAAAAATGCCTTCTAGATAATATTATCAAGCAATGTTCATAAACTGAATCAAGTAATATTTATTAGATGGTGATACCCCCCTACATGTATATAATTACCTGCCATTTAAGGTCAGCATTGTATTAGTTAGACATAATTTTTTAATCAAAGTAACATCAGCCAGAGAAAACTTAGTGGAGCGCTGATGGCAACTATTATTAGTTAATTTAATTTCTATTGTCATAAAAACTGTTGCATAGAATAGACATGACAAAATACATCAGCATGTATTAGTTTACTTAATTTTAGATCTTTGATAGAAGCAGCCAAAGAAGAACCCAAAACTTAAACAATATTAATATCAGATATCTAACCATAAGAACTACAATATTTAATAAAATTTTAATATTTATTGTTTGCATTCACATTCAAATGGACGATCGATGACGATAATTCCTCATAAGTCATAATGCTTGTACAAAAATGCAGCAAATCGTGATTGGTGATGGAAGAAGTCAGAGGCTCGAGAGAGTGATGCGTACTTGAAGGAAACATACATACTCACCAGAAAGAGATCCGGCAAAGATGAGGGCGGTGGAATAGGGGCGCGTTGGCCGGCGTCAGCAATCGCACTTCGACGGGGAAGAATCGAGGGCTGGGGACGTTTCGACGGGGAAGATTCGAGGGCTGGGGACGTTTTGGGCGAAATTTCGGGAAGAGTGGGGGAAAATTTCGTGGGTTGGGGAGAATAGGGAAAATAACGGGGGGAAATGAATTCACCAATCAAAACTCCCAAACGGTTGTAACCGTTTGGGATATATTATCCCAAACGGTTAAAACCGTTTGGGTTCACCGTATGGGTTTTTTTAAACTTCCAAACGGGTTTAACCATTTGGGACATTTGTTCCAAACGGTTTAAACCGTTTGGGCTATCTTTATTTGTCCAAATTTTGGACTGCCCTATTTTGTACTAGTAAGGGTAGCACATGCACTAGCAAGGATGACAACTTGTGTGAGTGATTCTTCTTCATGGCTTGAAGATGCTTCGCATGTTGTTGGACATCGATCTTTTAGCTTTTGATTGTAGCCAACATTCTCTTTCATATAATTCATTCTCCATAAAAAAAAAGAACAATTAAAAACTAAACAGTTACTGACTATACAAATCAAAGTCGAAAATACGTAACGTTCATTTTTTATTCTGTAAATTTATTAGATTTTTTCTGTGTATGCTATGAGGATAATCTTAGTCCGCAGAAACATAATATCGTGTTCATGTTGATCTTTACACCAGTAAACTAGATCATAAAGTTTCCATATTTTGTTATCACAGTGGGTTAATAACTTAATATACACGTATAATCACGCGAACACATATTCTAAATCTATAACACCTAAGAGCTAGGTTTATGTATGCCTACGGTAATTGTCTTCTTGATCACCATCTCATTATTTTACGTGTTGATATATTTTGTAACATTCTGTATAAATTGTTTTTTTAATCCTCTTTTGAATTCATCAAGGCCGGTGGTCTAACCCAAGAAGAATTGATAACTGAGAAAAAGAAGTAGACAAGGGCTTTGCTGGGCCTTCATTCAATGTGACTCGTGGCTCAAGCCTTTACGTAGCAAGTTGGCTCTGTCCCTCAATAGCTCGACAAAAAAAAAGCAAAAAAGCCCAGTAAACAATAGGCCTTTGTGCTGGTTAAGTTCGTAAGGGGAGATGGACTAGGCTGATGTCCAATTGACTGGAACGGGTAAGGTGTCTAATCCCACCTCATGCTTCTTATTGAAATGTAATTAACTAAACCCAAAATTAACTGAAAGGATGCGAGATACTCCTGAAACATACATTACATTAGAGGCTCCATTCAGTAACCTTGTATATGATAACCTGAAAATTTTTTATGAAGTCCAAACCTGAGAAAACCCTGCCATTGGCGTATCGCTATACAATAGGTCTTCCCTTAGATATGAAAATATATAAATCCATACATTATATCCCAGTAGGATTTAGTGAGTCTTTTGGGAATAATTAGACCCTGCCAGATAGGATTTTAGAATACAAATCTAATTAGAACTATATCTATATATAGAAACAAGGTAGCTTTAACCATAATTTAACAATAAAAATTCTCAAACTACTGTTCATCTAACATCATGCGATTTCTGGTAAAAACCTCCCGATTATATGTGGCTTTCTAGTTAAAAAAAATTGTACTTTTGGGGTTTCATGCAAATTTCGCAGAATTTCACAACTAACATTTTCGGATTTGATTTAAAGGAGTTTGGTCCACCCGGTACAATGAAATCAATATGGTTCAAGCTACTAATTAATCAGCTATCCGAGCTTGGATTGTTAATTGTCCATAAGCAAATTACTTAAACAATTATTAACAAAATTGGCTTGTCATTTTCACCCTTCATCCAACGACAACCATGAGTTTGGCTCAAAACGAACCGAATAAAAGAATAAGTTTCTCAATGAAATTAATATAATTCCATAGCTTTCACTTCCGAAAACCACTATGTGAATGGTAGTTAAGTTCAAAAATAAACAAATGGCAAGCATGATGCAAGAAGCAATTGAGGTCTCATTGAGAAGCATAGGACATAATTTATTGGTGAGTACATATGCATGATACCATATAAAATATTAGTTTATTACCAACCATCAAATTCATATGGTAACCAATGATGCAGGGTAATGATAGCAAAAAGTTCAAATTTATCTGCACATAAGACAGTGACAAACAACTTCAAAATGTACCACTGACTGCGATGAACGAGAGGTGCGCTAGAGACTATGGCTCGCTTATAGAAGAACTTAAAGACATTGATTTGCGGGATAACAAGATGCGGCTGAGAATTCTCGTAGATATTACTAAGCCTCTAAAAAGAGGCATACATGTTTGCTTTGAAGAGACCAGGGAGATTGAGAAGCTCTTCCTCACTTATGAGAGACTTCTTGACTTTTGCTTTTCATGTGGCATTATTGACCACAAAGCTGCTGAGTGTGACAAGCGAAGTGTACAAGTCGATGGTATTTTTATCACATCCAAAAGCAGATATGGTTCTTGGCTCAAAGAACCCCCTCCATCTTTCAAGTCCTTTAAGACTCGGTCTTCTGGAGCAACTGAAGCAGATCATGAGGGGCAGAAACAACCATCATCTCGGGTGGTCTCAGATGATACTCAGGATGATGATTCACGTGGTAGTGCTCCACTACAGATCATTCCAGTCACGGTAAGGTGTGAAACCCCTCCTATACCCTTGCCTATGGATACCGGTGTTGGTTCTGATTTGCAAGACGCTACAGTTTCCACATCCACCTCCGGAAAGCGGGCTACATCGACCTGGAAGAGTCTTGCTAGAGGGTCTGGGCAGCATGGTTCCAAACAGAAAGAGAAAGGAGGCAAACACAAGAAAGATTCTCTAAAGGATCTGTTAGACCCTAGAGGAGGGGGAGGGGGTGATTAGGGTCTTAAGCTAATCTAATCCGATTTTATGCCAATTAAAACTAATACAAATATATTCTTGTAAGATAGATATACAAGAGTTATAAACAAGAATAAGCAATATGAATAAAGAGATATATCCTAGCAAAGAGGTAATATATGCAAGGATATATAAACTAACACAAGGGTGAAATAAACATAAACAAGATAAGAGTGATAGTGTAAATAAACAATGCAAACACACAATATGATCACGGAGTTCGGACCTTCCGTCCTACGTCTCCGCTCCCCACTCCCGGGGAGAAATCCACTATCACAACCGGGTTTTCTACGCTCACCCGGATAACGTTTACACCTCACAATGTCGGTTTTCAATGTTCACCGATCAACGTTCATAATCACTCACAATGTCGGTTTTCAACGCTCACCGATCAACGTTTACTTCTCACACTCGGTTTTCTAGCTCACCGAAAATTTTACAACACTAACAATGTAACAATAAATATATTCTCTACAATAGATGAGAACTCAATTAAAGCTCACACTCAATTGTTACAACTCTCACCAACCCAAATATACTATGTATGAAAATATAATAAGCTCAAGTGGGTGTGTGTAACAATGAGTGAAATCAAATCAAATCTATACTCAAAATAAAACTAGCTTTAATAAGATGATACTCAAACAAATAGATATAAAGCTAGAAATAGAGTTTAAAAAACTTCTCAATAGATCAAGGGGTAGAGGAGAAAGGTTGGATGCTCAAACACCAATGGTTGATCTCCTCAAGCTCTTGTGAAATTGATATCACAAAACAAACTCTCAATTTGCATAAAAGTTTTTTAAACAAAACTTCAACCAAACACAAACCCTTGTTACAACTTATTTAAAACACTCTCTTGGGTGTAGAAAATAATTATGGCAAAAGGGTATATATAGGGTAGAAGAAAACAACCCAAAAAAATCTCAAATACCCACTAAAAAATAAAAAATAGAAGTTACCGTTACTGTTCAAGGGCCGGGTGCTACAGTAACAGTGGTCGACCGTGCTACAGTATGGTCGACCGTACTATTCACGGACAGTTTCTGTTTTTGACAAATTCTGGAATTTTGCGTATCTAACTTTGTAAAATCAATTAAAAATAGTAAATCAACTCCAAAAACCATGAAATTTTGAGAGAAGGTTCTAGACATGTAGATAAACATGTTAAAGAAAGAATTTATAAAATATCACTTCTCAGTTAAGAGAAATAAATATTTGAACATAGATATATAGTTTCTGAAAAAACTACAGAATATACGGTTTTGTAAATTCAATTGAAAATAACAAAACAACTCCAAAAATAGTAAAACTTAGGAAAATATTTGTATATATGATGATAAACATGTAAACAAAGAAATTTTTCAAATCGCATTTCCCAATTATGAAAACGTATCAGTTTTGCAAAAACATGCACGAACATGTGCACGAACATGAGCTAATTAAAAGCTTGATTTTGTAAATTCAAATAAACATAACAAATTAATTCTAAAATTGATAAAACTTTGGAAAACATTTATAAACATGAAATTTAACATGTTAGAAAAATAATTTCTCAAATTAAAATTTCCATTTGTGAAAATTCATGTATTTTGCAAGTGTGTCCAAAACATGAAAATGTGATATACATAAAATTTAATATTTTGACATAAACAATGTTTTGAAACCCTATGAAATAATTTTATAGACTTAATAAAATATGTATATAATAATTGTTAAATCCATAGACTAAAACTTATGTATATATATAACTATATATATAAAAACCAATATGTGTGTGTATATATGATTGAGCTTGAAGTACTAACACACATAATATAAAACCTAAACTAAATATACCCAAGCTTGATTGATCTTCGATGTAGCTCAACTTGGTACTCTTGCGGATGAAGCTAGAACTTGGATCTTCAATTTGAATTGCATAGGCTTCACTCCACAATTCCACCAACCTCCATTGGATATGATCGTGAATGCGCAATTCCATCCATCCTCCAACATGTTGTTTGTCTATAATAAATAGATAAGCACAAACACTAGACAAACAATATTAGTGGTAAATTGTTTGTTAAACATCATCAAAAAAAAGAGGCCAACAGGATCCTTCGGATGTACATGAGAAGAGGGAATGATTAGTTATTTACAGTTTAGATTCTACTCTTGTTGAGGCGCACCCTGGTGGACAGGGGCGCCAAGAGCCATGAGTTAATTTTGTTGGAACATTCAGGGACTAGGGAAC